TTTCTATAGTCATGTCATCTGTAAACAAAGACAGTCTTATTTCTTCCTTTCTTTTCTTATTGCATTAGTTAGATATTTCTGTATGTTACAAGGAAGTGGTGAGAGGGGAAATTCATGCATTGTTCCTGACCTTACTGAGAAAAGCATCCAGTTACTCACTGTTAAGTATAATGTTGGCTGGAGATGTTTTTGTAGAGGCTTATCAAACTAAGGAAGTTCTTCTCCATTCCTAGTTTGCTGAAAGTTTTTATTATTAATGATTGTTGGATTTTTCTCAAATGCTTTTTCTCATCTATTGTATGATCATGTGATTTTTAAAATTTAGCCTGTTCATGTGACAGATTATAGTGCTTTTTGAATGTTGATCAAACTTTGTAAACCAGAAATAAATCTTATTTGTTAATTTGTTTTAACATAGTAACTATTTCACTGTACATGTGCATCTTGAAACATGTTGTATACCTTAAAACATATATATTTAAAAATTTAAATTTTTAATTAAAAATTAAAATTTATTTTAAATTTTAAGAATCTCAATTTGTCATGGTATATTACTTTTATATTTTGTTGGATTTAATTCACTAATATTTTGTGAATTTTTGTATCGATATTCAAGAGAGATATTGGTCTATAGTTTTCCTTTCTTGCAATGTCAACATTTGCTTTTGGTATTAGGGTAGGGCCTCAGAATAGTTTAGAAAATGTTTCCTTTGCTTCTATCTTCTGGAAGAGTTGTAGAGAATTGGTATAATTTCTTCTTTAGATGTTTGGTAAAACTCACCAGTGAGCCCATCTGGACCAATGGCTTTTGTTTTGGAAGGTCAGCAATTATTGATTCCATTTCTTTAATGAATATGCACCTATTCAGATTATTTGTTTTCCTTGGTGTGAGTTTCGACAGATTGTATCTTTCAAGTAATTGATCCACTAAATCTAGGTCATCAAATTTGTGGGTACAGACTTGTTAACATTCCTTTACTCTCCTCTTAATGTCTATGGGTAGTCCCATCTTTTTTATTTCTGATATTAGTAATTTATATCTTCTCTCCTTTTTTTTTTTTTTTTTTGAGTTGGAGTCTCACTGTCACCCAGACTGGACCCGCTGGGCTCTGGCGATCCTTCCACCTCTGCCTTCCGAGTAGCCAGAATTACAGGTGTGCGCTACCTGATTTTTTTTTTTTTTTTTTTTTTTATTGTAGAGATGAGGTCTCACCAAGTTGCCCAGGCGGGTCTCGAGCCCGTGGGCTCAGGTAATCCACTCACCTTGGCCTCCCAAAGCACGGGATTACAGGCTGAGCCACCGAGCCCAGCTTGTATCTTCTCTCTTAGTCTGGCTAGAGGTTTATCAATTTTATTTTATTTATTTATTTTTAGTTGGGGTCTCACTCTGTAAATCAGGGTGGAGTGCCATGACACAATCACGGCTCACCACAGCCTCAACTTCCTGGGATCATCCTTCCATCTCAGCCTCCCATGTAGCTGGGTCTGCAGGTGCATGCCACCAAGTCTAATTTTTAATTTTTTTTTTTTTGTAGAGATGAGATTTTGCTATGTTGTCTAGGCTGGTCTTGAACTCCTGGGCTGAAGCAATCATCCTGTCTCAGTCTCCCAAACTGTTGGGATTACAGGCATGAGCCATGACAGTCAGCCAATTTTTACTTATCTCTTGAAAGAACCAGCTTTTAGTTTTAGTTTCTCTACTGAATTTCCTGATTAATTTCTGCTAATTTTTATTATTTATCTCCTACTGCTTTCTTTGAATTTGCTCTTCTTTTTCTAGTTTTCCAAGGTAGAAGCTTAGATTAATAATCAAAATGTTTTCTTTTTAGGGGCAGGAATAATGTGGTTCATGCCTATAAAACCAGCTGCTTGGGAGACTGAGGCAGGAAGATCGCTTGAGGCCAGGAGTGTCAGATCAGTCTGGGTAACATAGTGAGTCATCTCTAAAAGCTTTTAAAAAACTAGTCAGGCATAGTGGCATGTGGCTATAGATAGTCCCAGTTACTCAGGAGGCTGAGGCAGGATGATCACTTGAGGTCAAGGATTTTGAGGCTGCAGTGAGCTATGGTTGCAGCACTGTACTCCAATCTAGGTGACGGAGCAAGACCCCCTCTTTTAAAAAATTTATCTTATACACATTCAACTTTATTATTTCCTTCAAAGCACCTCTTTTGCTGCATCCAACAAATTTTGGTAAGTTGTATTCTCAATTTCATTTAGTGCACAATATTTTAAATTTCTCTTTAACTTATTTTTTCACCCATTAGTGTTGCTTAATCTACAAGTATTTGGAAATTTCTTAGCTATCTTTCTGCCACTGGTTTCTAGTTGAGCTCCATTGTGATTTGAGGGCATGTTGCATATGAATTCTATCTTTTAAATTTGTTAAGGTGTGCTTGATGGCTATTTATCTTGGTGAATGTTGTATGAGTTTGAGCATAATGTGTTTTCCTACCCAATGCTGGCTCCAGTGATAGTTGCCAGGCAGACACTCCTTCAGGTATACTGTGATTCTCTGTATCTGCTTATGTCTCTAGTTTTCAGGGTGGTCATTGTCCTGTGATTTCAATTCTGATGGATCAAAGAGTTGATTTTTTGTTTTTCAGTTTCTTTGTTCGGAATTACAACTTTCAAGCTTTTTACATGTCGGAGAACCAGAAAGCCCTTATGTTGCTTTTAAAGAAGCTTCTAATTTTCCAGACTGGTTGTACCGTTTTACATGATACTAGCAATGTATGAGGTTCAGTTTTTTCACATATTTGCCAGAATTTGGTACTGTCATTATTTTTTATTTTAGTTGTTCTAATAGATATGTAGTGGTATCTCATGATCTAAACTTGCATTTCCCTAATGGCTAGTGATGTCATTCTTTTCATGTGCTTATTTACCATTAGTATATCCTCTTCAGTGAAATGTGTCCACATTTTGTGCCCATTTTCTAATTAAAAACATTTTTAATGAGTTTTCAAAGTTCTTTAAATGATTTACAAATATTTTCTCTTAGCCTGTAGGTTTTTGGGCTAAACAAGGTCTTTGGCAAGCAAAAGTCTTTAACTTTGATGAGGTCAATTTGTCATTTTTCTTTCATGAATCTCTTTTGTAAGAACTATTCACTACCGGGCTTGGTGGCTTAGCCTGTAATCCCAGCACTTTGGGAGGCCGAGGCAAGTGGATTGCCTGAGCCCGCGGGTTCAAGACCAGCCATGGCAACTTGGCAAGACTTTTTTCTCTATAATAAATCAAAAATTAACTGGGCATGGTAGTGCACACCTGTGGTTCCAGTTACTTGGAAGGCTGAGGTGGAAGGATCACTGGAGGCCAGCAGGTTGATGCTGAGGTGGTCATGAGTGTGCCACTGCATCCCAGCCTGGAAGACTGAGATTCCAACTAAAAAAAAAAAAAAGAACTATTCCTTAGGTTAAAGACTTTATCCTGTTTATTCCCTAAAAACTTTCTAGTTCTGTTTTACATTTAAATCAATTATCTAGGCCAGGTGTGGTGGCTCATCCAGCACTTTGGGAGGTCATAGTGGGAGGACAGCTTGAGCCCAAGAGTACAAGACCAGGCTGGGAAGCATAGTAAGACCTTATTACTACAAAAAATAAAAATGAAAAAATTAGCCAGGTGTGGTGGTGCATGCCTGTGGTCCCAGTTACTGGGGAGACTGAGTAAGGAAGGATCGCCTGGGCCCAGGAGGTCAAGGCTGCTGTGAGCCGAGTTTGTGCCACTGCACTCCAGCGGGGGAAACAGAGCGAGATTATTTCTTTTTCTTTTTTTGAGTTGGAGTCTCACTCTGTCACACAGGCTGGAGTGCAGTGGCACACTCCCGGCCACTACAGCCTCGACCTGCTGGGCTCCGGAGATCCTTCTGCCTCAGCCTTCCAAGTAGCTGGAACTACAGGTGTGTGCTACCACACCCAGCTAATTTTTTGATTTATTATAGAGATGAGGTCTCGCCAAGTTGCCCAGGGGGGTCTTGAACCCACAGACTCAGGCAATCCACTCACCTCAGCCTCCCAAAGTGTGGGATTACAGGCAGAGCTACCGAGCCCAGGTGAGATCTTGTTTCTAAATAAATAATAAGTAAAAATCAATCAATCCATGATTCATTTTTGAGTTACTATTTGTATAATGAGTGAGGTTTAGGTGGAAGGTTTTTTATTTTTGCCTATGAAATCCAGTTGCTCTCCCAGACAACTGTTTAATGAATCCTCTCTATCACAAATTATCACCAACAGATAATCCACCTAATGAACTTTTTTGCTAAAACCAACCTGCTGAAGAGTACTACTTTGATTGTAGGGAGAATTGAGAGGGGTTTATAATTTTATTATAATTATATTTCAACTGAGATTCTAGGCATCTAAGACTCATCAATAAAATACCAGAAAGAAGGCTAAACAAGGCAGCCCAAGATAGGGATGGGAAAAAAAAAAAAAAGAAAAAGAAAGAAAATGAGTTCAAAAAAACTAGCTTCCCTCGATTCTATCTTTTGCGTAGGGATCAGATCATAGGAAACACAAAGTTAAAAAAACAAGACAAACAAAACTAAAGGATGAATTTGCATGCAAATTATGCTAAGGCATACACCACAGCTTAATGTTTCGTGTCATCTGTGAGTTTCCTGTATACATCTGTGATATCTGCTTACAATCATGTACTACTTCATGATTTTTTTTCCCTAACTAGAAATAATATAATTGTCTTGACATGTTAATGGTATCAACATAATCATCAGATGATGCTCTGGAGACTGATTAGCATACTATGTGAGGTATTGTAAATAAAACTGAGACTCTGATCAGATTGTGTAACTATTCTTTTCCTAATAGGTTAGACATAAAATCACTGTCTGATTTTACTGTGAGAATCTGGATCCAGACATGCTATTCTCATTAGAAATCAGAAATCAGTTGAAGTATCACAATGATGCCCTCATGGCTAATGAAAAAAGAATATGTGGGTAGTTTGAGAGTGGACTACATAACACACTTTAGGAGCAGGATTTACATTTTTTATTGATAGGTATAAAATACATGTGGCCAACACTGTACTTTCATTTGCAAATAGAATTGCTAACAGGTATAAAGACCTATAATTCATTTTTTATCAAGATTATCTGCCATCAAACTGCCCATATCCAAGTTTCCACAGGCCTGACATTTTTCCACTAGATAAAAGTATGTAGTGGGAAGTCCATATGATAACTTTTTTCTTAAAAAAAAAAAAAAAAAAAAAAAAAGGAATCAGCATAGTCAGGTTGTCTTAGTGTTAAGGATTTCTGGATTTCTTCCTTGGAGGAGGTCAGGATCTTCCCAAGGCCTGGGTCCTCGAATATTCTTCCAGTCATCAAAAGTAGAGTCTTTTATTTTCTATAGAACCATAAAAAGTTAAAGTATGTTTATTAGCATAGGATCCCTGTGGCTTTGATTAGGACATTACTGAATGAATAAATGGGCAGAGATAATCCAACAGGCCCTTAATTACAACTGTAACAAATAAATCAACAATAGACCAAGAAAAAAAACTGAATAAATGTCATCTTTCTGAAGATTCAGAACTTTTGCTGTTTGTTGCAGATGTTAATTCCTGTATTTTCTACCATAACTGTAAGAATATTAAAGTAGAAAAGGAGTCCAGATGCCTTACTTTTGAGAGCACAAGGAAAGGGAAGAAGTCTAAATCTGATGAGTGATCTAACACGGCATAAACATGACTAAAAGGCTAGCACGGATGATGGTAGAAAATGAGAAGAACAAAGGTGGAGACCTTAAAGTCTTTTACAAGGAATAAGAAACCAAGATAATTTGCCTTGTACACAAAAAATGAGCCAAGGCTTAAGGATGAATAGATTTTTCCCACAGCTACCATGAGCAAAAATCCTTCTAGGGACTCCAAACTAATTTCAACTACATTTAAATCATCCTACATTCAGTCTGAAGAGTCTCTAAATCACAGGAATGAAAATAGGATAAAAGGGAGAAACATAAATGTTTCTTCACCCATTTCCTACTGACCACCACCTGACAGTAACTTTTATATATTCACTACTTTAATTGTTCTGGAATAATTGAGTTAAGACAGAAGACAGAGTTGGAGAGGACACAGGATAGCTTATTAAAGTCTTTAGAGCTCTCTGATGAAGGAAATATTCCATGTAGAATTCTGCAAAACATACAAAGTGGCAGAGATGGTGAAAATGGCATAAATTTACCATGACACTTGGATACTAAACATTATTCTTTTATTAACTAGCTGTATAACCTTTGGCAAGTGATTTAAACCATCTGGATATTAACTCTCTCATAAGTAACAATGAAAAGGCTGAATCAAATGATCTATAATGATTCTTCAGTTACCAAATTCTTAGTTTCTAAAATAAGTGGAAAGGAAATCTACTCCCAGACAAACTCTCCCTCTGGGCACACAGTTTGGAGACTGAGTACCAACAATTTAGAAGGGTTTAGGAAAAACCACAGCCATTACATAGCTACTCCCTTATAAAGCACAAAACCAAATTCAAGGTGATTAGCCAACAATTACACAGACAGCTAAAATGAAATCAACATGCTTCAGAATTTTTTCCAACGTATTATTCACAATGTCTACCTTTCAATAAAAAATGGACACACAAAGAAACATGAAGATTATGATCCAGTCAAAAAATGAACAAACTAAGAGTTGGAAAACATCCTCCCTCACCATATCCTATCTTACAACGTGCTATTAAACCCTTTGATTTTTGCTACTCAGATGGGTAAAAAATAACCTTAATTGATATTCCTATTATGATGCAATGAATATCTCTTCATATATTTAAAAATACTACTTTCTTTCCCTCTGAACTTTTTACACGCTTTGCCCATGTTCCCAATGACCAAATCAGTTGAACTTTTTCACATTGATCTATAGGTGGCCTTCATATTTAAATAAATTTGCCATAAGATAAACTATATTTTTAGATTTATCACTTAACTTGTGACTTTATATATTTTTTTAGTGGGAACTTTTGAATTTTTATGTTGGAACTTATTAATCTTCACTTATGTGAGTTCTGGGTTTTATATCACCTTTAAATAGGCTTCTATGATGTCAGACCACAGAAAAGACTTTTTTGGCCTGGTACTTCTAGTATCTTGTTTTTTATTTTTAAATTCTGGATCCATCTGGAATTTATGTGCAGTATATTAAGTATGGATCCATTTTTTTTTTTTGAGTCAGAGTTTCACTCTGTTGCCCAGGTTGGAGCACAATGGCAAGCTTATGGCCACCGCAGCCTTGTCCTGCTGGGTTCAGATGATCCTTCCACCTCAGCCTTCCAAGTAACAGGAACTACAGGTGTGTACCACCATGCCTGACTAATTTTTGGATTTATGGTAGAGACAAGGTAATCTTACCAAGTTGCCCAGGCTGGTCTTGAACCCCTGGACTCAGGCAATCCTCTCACCTATGCCTCCCAAAGTGCTGGGATTATCGGCATGAGCCACCACGCCTAGCTTTATTTTCTTTTCAAATGACTTATCAATTAACATATATTCAAGATGATTTTTTCATGTACTACTAATAATTTAAGTTTATTTTAAGGCAGATAAAACCAGTTATTGATTGTTTTAAGACACAGACTGTATTAACATACTGTACCTCATATTCTGACTCTAAAGATACTTTATTTGCTTTCAGTTTTTTTTCCAATTCAGGATCAATCTGTAGAAAAGAAAGAGGAGCCACAAGTTATTTAAGTCTGTTAGATTCAATTTTTAACTTTGACCAAACACAAACACATATAAATTCTCCACTATCCACTCTAATCACATGATAACTAATATACTACTGCCACCAGTACTGCAACTAACAACAGCTAATATTAACTGATTACTTGTTATGTGCCAGGAATTCTGACATATATCATCTTGTTTAATCCTCATGAAACCTGTATTATTATTATCCTTAGTATTACAAGTAAGGAAAATGGGACACAGGAGTCTGAATAAAATGTGAAAGAGGCAGAACTTGGCTTTGAGCACTGGCCCTCTGCCTTTACATTCCACACTATTAAACACCAACCTAAATTATGTTACAGAGAAATTAAATACAAAATACTAATAAATATAATGCTGCACTTGAAAACAAAAAAGAAAACCTTCCATGGGCCAGAAATAAAGAGACATCGCCAATTAAAAAAGAAAAAAGTGGGCAAGCCCTTTGGGTCCCCTCCCACTGTGGGAGCTTTTCTATTCTCAAGAAAAAAAAAAAAAAAGAAGAGGGTGATGGCTGAAATTAATAAACAAACAACAACAACCAAAAAACCCAAATTAAATTAAATGGAATAGCTGAATAGTGAGTGACTGAACACAGCCTAAGGCCAAATTAGGAAACCAGAAGTATAACCATAATGTACGAGGAGATAAAGATGAGATGAATGGAAGAAAAAGTATATAATGAAAGATCTAAAAGTTTTAACACATATCTAACAGGGGTTCCAGAGTTAGGGAATGAAGAACAGGGAGGAAGGACAATAATGAAATACAAAAGACAAAGAATTCCCTACCACATAGAAAAGAATTGTCCTCAGACTGAAAGAACATAATAAAAAATAACCACAACAAAACAAAAAAATCTATTCCTAATCAAGGTGAAATAGACTAAGAAAAATAAAAGAGAAGTCACAAATAAGAGTATTTAGATGAAACAGGTATCAACAGCATAAATTCTACAGGCAATAAAGAGATAGTGGGCTAATATGAATCACAATTTAAAAATTTAGATAAAATGGACACATTCATTAAAAAAAAAAAAAAACTTTCCAAAACTGACAAAGGAAGGATAGACAACTGGAATAGTTTTACCACCACTAAAGAACAGAATCTGTAACTAATAACTTCACATAAAGAAAACTCTAGGTTAAGATGGCTTTACCAAGGAAGAAATAATGCCAATGTAATAAAAAAGTCTTTATAAGTTATGTGGTAAGTATAACTAAGATATCAAGTTTCAAAAGATAATAAAGAAAAATAACAGGCCAATTTCACATGAACAGAAAAGCAGAATTCCTAAATAAAATACTACAAAAAGAACTCAGGGCTGAGTGTGGTGACTCATGACCATAACCCCAGCATTTTGAGAGTCCAAGGTGGGAGAACTGCTTGAGCCCAGGGGTTCAAGACCATTCTAGACAACATAGAAAGATCTACAAAAAAAAAAAAAAATAGCTGGGCATGGTGGCTACTTGTGAGGCTGAGGCAGAAGGATCACCTGAGCTCAGGAGGCCGAGGCTGTGATAAGCCATGATCATACTATTATACTCCTCCATCTAGTCTGAGTGACAGAGGAAGATCCTGACTAAAAAAAAAAAAAAAAAAAAAAAAAATCAGCCACATACCAGAAAGATAGCACACCATAATTAAGTTGAACATAGTCCAGAAATGCAAAGTTAATTTGAAAACCACAATGTAAGTGCAAACAAACTAATTTAACAGAACAGAAGCCTGAAGCAGACTTCCACTAACATGAACACTTGACTTATGACAAAATAGGCACAGAAAAACATAAAGGAAAAAAGGCTACTATCAGTAAATGGTGCTTGGACAACTTATCTGTACTAGAGAACATAATCCTCACACTATATACACAACATAAATAAAATAGGCCAGGCACAGTGGCTCACGCCTGTTCCAGCACTTTGGGAGGCCGAGGTGGGAGGACTATGTGAGTCCAGGAGTTAGAGAGCAGCCTGGGTGACACAGACTTTGTCTCTACAACAAACAAACAAAATTAGCCAGGCGTGATGGGTATTGCCTGTAATCCCAGCTACTCAAGAGATGCAAGGATTGCCTGAGCCCAGGTTGAGGCTGTGGTGAGCTATAATATTGTACCACTGCACTCTAGCCTGTGTAAGACCCTAACTGGAAAAAAAAAGAAAAAACATATAATTGTATTTATAAAAAATTGGGAAAAAACCCAATTCCTGATAGAATGTAGAGCCAAAGGTAAAACCATTTTCAGTAATTAGTATAGAAAAATATTTGTATTTTGGAGTATTGAAAATTTTTCTTAAAAGAAAAAGGTAATCATAAAGCAAATGAGGAATAAATTGGACTACATTACACTTAAGCAAATTTGTTCATCAAAAGATACCATTAAGCAAGTGAAGATGGTTTTCTTAGCTTTGGCCCCTTCCCTTACCTTGGAGATGAATCTCCTCTCTCTCTCTCTCTCTCTAATTTACTTTCTATATAAACTATACTTTCCCACCAAAAAAAAAAAAGAAAGAAAGAAAGAGAAGACAAAAAGATTTAAAATCTGTCATTGCATAAAGGACTCATAAAAATTAGTGACACAAGCCGGGCTCAGTGGCTCAGCCTGTAATCCCGCGCCTTGGGAGGCTGAGGTGAGTAGACTGCCTGAGCCCGCGGGTTTGAGACCTGCCTGGGCAACTTGGTGAGACCTCATCTCTACAATAAATCAAAAAATTAGCTGGGCGTGGTAGCGTGCACCTGTAATTCCAGCTACTTGGAAGGCTGAGGCAGAAGGATCGCTGGAGCCCAGCAGGTCGAGGCTGTGGTGGCAGGGAGTGGCCACTGCACTCCAGTCTGGGCGACAGAGTGAGACTCCAACTCAAAAAAAAAAAATTAGTGACAAAAAGACCAACAATTCAGTAGAAAAAATGGGCAAGAGATCTGGACACATCATAAAAAAGGATATACAAACTAGAAAAGAAAAATGGCCAATAGACATATATCAACTTCATTAGTCACCATGGAAACTTTAAATTCACTACATAGTTGCATAACAATTCATAACTTACCACCAGAATGACTTAAAAAAAAAAAAAATTAGGCCAGGCACAGTGGCTCACACCTGTAATCCCAGCACTTTGGGAGGCTGAGATGGGAAGGACTGTTGAGTCCAGGAGCACGAGACCAGCCTGAGCAATAGAGACCTCATCTCTACAAAAAAATTGAAAAATAAAATAAAAATTGTATTACCAATATTACTTAGAAAATGAAAAAAACAAAACAAAACAAAACTGACAATACTAAGTATTTGGAGTCCTGGGAACAATCAATTACTGATAACAGTATACAGACTGATAAATCATTCTGAAAAAGTTTGTAATTATCAAATAAAGTTGAAGATAATACACATACCCTCAAATCTAGCAATTCATTTTTGAACATGTACAAAGAAAATTATACAAGCATGTTCAGGCTGTCATCAAGATGGCAGAATAAAAGGTAACCTGCTCATATCTATTTGTCTACAGCAATAAGAATTATGTACCTATCCATAGTCAAAATTCTCTGTAGGAGCCTCAGGATTCAGGTAGGAGTTTGTGAAATCCTGGTGGAACCCAAGACCTACAGCGTCAGTCACTTTGACTGCAAACTGACACCCAGGTGGATAATCCACTGAGCTTGCTTCTGGGTTTAAGCCCAGAAATAGCCCAATCTCCCAAAGGGTTTCGCTAGAGTTTCATCTGGCCTTCAGTCTGCAATGAAAACCACCTGCCAAGAGGTCCAGGAGGAATTGTGCACACAGTGCCTTGGAATACAGGCTTGCCTGCCCAATGACATTGGTCTTGGCAGTGAACCTGAACATGATTCTGTGGCTCTGCTCCAGCATTCAACTGAGGTCCCAGTGACTCTGCTCCAGCCTTTCAGCTGAGATCCCAGCTCAGAGCTGTTTGCACAAAGGCCCAGAGGGAGACTCACCCATATCTTGCAGCCTGAGTCTCCCTGATGGCTTGCCAGCCTCCTCCCACAGCAGATCCAAGAAAGCCCAGTCTCAGCTCCAGCCCCACTTGCTGCAGTCGAGAAACTATCCTGTCTGTGTAGGATCCTTCTGTGAGATGAATGTCCCTGTGAGCCAACAAGACCAAGGTCTTCAGCCTCCACCTCACAGCAGATCCAGAGGTGACCTAGTCTCAGCTCTGGCCGCTTCTACTTCAGTTGGAGAAACATCCTCTATGCCAGATGTTGCTGGGCAACATATACTCCTCTGAACTAAGACTGGGATCTCCAGCCTCTGTCCCTCAGGAGATCCCAAGGGAGTTCTGTCTCAGTTCCAACCCTGTCTGCTACAATTAAAGAACTATCCTGTCTGCAGGAACCTGCTGGAAGACATGTGCACATCTGAACCAATATGACAGGCATGCCAGTCTCTATGTCACAGTAGACCCCAAGGGGGCCCAGTCTTAGCTCCAGCCCCTCCTACTGCAGTAGGAAAACTATCCTATCCGTGCAGGAACTTGCTGTATGATTCACACTCCTCTGAGCTGAGATCAGGCTCTCTAGCCGCTGCCCTACAGCAGATACCAAGGGAACCCAGTCTCAGCTCCAGCCCCTCCTTGCCGCAGTAGAATTACCTACCCTACATTGGTGCAGGGACCTGCTAGGTGACACTTGCTTGTCTGAGGCAATGAGAAGGGCCCACCACCATCCCTATAACAGATCCTGAAGGGGCACAGTCTCAACCCCATTCCACCTGTGCAGAAATCTGCTGGGAGGCACACCCATCTGAGGCACTGAAACAGTCTTCTGGACTCAGGACCCTGGCCAGCATTACGACATAGCTCCAGTACACGCCTTGGGTCCTCCCCATGTCAAAAAGCCACAACCTCAAGGCCTCACAAGACTTGTGGCAAACCTCAGCGGCCTCACAAGACTTGTGGCAAACCTGGGCTTGGAGCATCTCTAATGTTGAAA